TTAAGGTAAAAAAAAAAAAAAAAAAAATCCTTTCATTGTCCTGGATTACACTCTCAAAACAGAGGTAAAAGTAATGAGTATTTATTCCTGATGTCTGTATGTTCTGTTGAAGAATGACCTGGACACACTTGAGAGCGCTAATGCAATCCTTAGTGACCTCACTCAAAGTGTGCATGCTCAGTTGTAATGTGAGAGAGATCAGAATGTCATAGTCTCATGACTGCCATATGTCTATCGTTGTAAAACTCTAGATATTGGGTAGGAAATATCTGGAGAAAAACTGAGGTGCACCCTGATGGTATCTTGTCTGCAGCAAGATACCATCAGGGTGCACCTCAGTAGGTGACTGGGGGGGTGCCAGCATTCGCAAATCCTGTGAATTAAGTTTTCCTTCCTTTCCTTCTTTTCTTTTCTCTTCTCTTCCCCTCCCCCTCCCTTCCCTTTCCCTTTCCTTCCTTCCTCGCCACCTCCCAGCTAAAATCCTTTTCCAGGAGACAACATCCTGACAGTGGAGCAATTCAGATCATTGTTTTTGTTGTTCAGCATGGTTTGCATTCTTCTCAACTAGTGTCTTTGAGGTAGGTGGCATGAGTTCCCTCGGGAACTGTACGAAATGTCCAGTAGTTAATAGCACAGTGTTAATGACACCATGTCCCGGAGAGGTGTCTCTAAGACAGTGTCATGGCCCCAGGCTTGAACTGAAAATTCAGGGCTCTCAAGAGAACCTAGACAAGTCAGGAAGCCCTGCTTCATCCTTATGCGTTTAGTAGTGATGAGTTGGTCAGGCCTGGTTTCCTACATGGTAATGAAATACGCTTATGCCATCCCAATCACCGGGGCCTGGGCGGACACATAGTGCATCTCATATGTGCTTTTTATATTTATTTGATGTATTGATGAGTAGCAATAGGGAGCTGTGAAGAGCAGCTCAGAGCTACTGAAGACTTGCCAGCAGGCTGAAGTTTGAGTGGTTTTAGGCCCTTATTGGGGGGCGGGGGCATCAATTCATCCCTGCGATTGGGTTTGTGGATGTTGCGTTCATGGGGACGGTATGTGGGGACATTCGAGTCCTGCCTTCAGATTCCTGGGAAGGAAGAATGGCAGAATTCCACATGGGCTACCAGGTATAGATGTTTCCTTTCCCTCTTAGGAAGCTGGGACTGAAAGAATGTGAGCAGGGGGCAGGGGAGAAACTGAAATTAGTTGCAGAAAAGATAGGGAACCACAAGGGAGTTCAGCTCCTAACCCCAGCGGTGAACGCTGGTGGATGATTCTGAAACTGGGTATGGTGTTTAGACCAAGCTCACACACAAATAACCACCACTGTTCAGAAGGCACTTAGAGATTTGATATGTGAAAAAACATTTTCCAGATGTTCAGTTGAAAATATTGAACAGTTAAGTTACCAAAGGTTTCCTGATCCCCAATGCTGGCCAGACTATGTGGAACTGTGGTTCCCAGACATGCTTCTGGAGGTGGTAGAAATGATTATAAACCTTAAGAAGCAGTTTGGTGTAGGACAAATCACATCAACAAAAAGGACCGTGCCATTTTAGAGACCCACTTGTTGTAGCCCGGAGAAACACGAGAAGGATATGAGGAAAAGGAGAATCAAACTTTATGATGAAAGATACTCATTGCAGAATAAACTAGGGAGCTGTCATGACTGGTGAGGAGACCTTATCAGCTCAGATCCCCACAAGCATTAAATACTGAATACAAAATGACTTAGCAACCGCTTCGAGCCTACCGTATTTTGATAATTATGTGAAATATGTCTTATATGATTGCAAAATGTATATGAGAGTTCAGTTCTCATAACAGGAACCTGGGCAGACTAAAAAGCCCTACTCCACATTGTGCTCCACCTGATGAAAGCATTTGTCACTCACAGGAACACAAAAGAAGAGATGTAAGAACAGCTGCAGCAGCAAGAGCTCCCCCTTTCAGACACCAGGGAGCCCACAAGATCTGCCCAGTGTTTTCTCAATCCTTCAGCACCTAATGCAGAGGATCAAAGGCCCACTGAATCTCTGCGTGTGGGTTTTTGACTGATGTGCTGACTCTTTCAGATCACTCTTCAGGAGAAGGTGGCTCGGGACAACTGGGTAAGAATGTTTTTCTCTCCTCCTCTTGTGCGCGCTCTGCCCCAGCTGAACGTGGGTGTGTTTCTCTCCCACATCTCGGGGCTCCTGATCTGGATGGGGTGATGGTGGGGTGGAGCAGAGCAGGGAGGTTGCCCACTTGAAACACCAGTACAGGAGTTTGACATACTTCGGTTAAGGGCGTTGTGAGGTTTCTAGGGAGAAGCTGTTTCTTGTCCAGGGGAAGCCTGGGTGTGGTATTTCTTAGTGAAATTGATTCATCTCCATCTTCCAAGACCGGAAGAAATCCAAAGACAGAGGCCACCAGAGGAATCGAGGAGGCAGAAACCAGTGCCAGGAGAATGTGACAAGGACATTCCTCCGTGGACAGGTAAGGAGCACGATGTGAAATGCAGCAGTTTAATTTCTGCTGCAACATCCCCTCGATTGGCTTCTTGTTCCAGTGGGCAACTGCTGTGTCTCCTGGAAATAATCACAAGAGGTTACTAGAGGAAACAGGTGGTCTCGCAGAGGTGACAGGACTCTGTTTCCTCAGAAGTCCCCAGGCAGCAGGGCTCTTTGGGTCTGTCCCTTGTGAGTGGTGGAGCTCACGCCCCGCTGCTGACTGTCCCCCTCTCCCCCAAGCAACCTCTCTGTTACACTTAACTTGAGAGTGGGTGTGAGAACAGACATGGATCAGGGCCCCTTCCACCTTGACACAATGTTGAAGTCTGTGTTTTTCTTTGATTTGAGAAAAATAACATGAATAGAATTAGAGATGAGAGGCTGTATGTCCTGGTAAGCTTTCTTGATTTGTCTTTGCGGATAAATATTCCATAGACAATCTGCTTTAAGAAAGCAGACATTTCTTTCCTCTTTATGGAGATCCTTTTCCTTTTCAAAAAAAATTTTGTATTGTCAACTACAGTTCCCCAATAGGGAAATGAATCCTTGTGTAATTTCAGTCCTCTACTGTTATTTTATTAGGTAGTGTCGTGCTAAATCTTTACAAGAAATTCCACGTAGAGACTAATACTATAGTAATGAGGAACGATGAATTCTTTGAGATAATTTCTGGTCATGAATACTTACATCTTCCCCTGTCAGATACATAGAGCAGATAATATACAGTAAAACACCTGAATAATCCACCCACAGCTTGTAGAAAGGACAGGTGCTGTCTGTACTGATGGCTTACTGCCTGAGGCATGGGTAATTTTTAATCTGATAAATTTTCATTTCCTGTGTTGTATATCAGGAAACCTTTGTTTCATTGTTGATTTCCAACTAGTTGATCTCTGACCTCTCCACAGTTGATTATCAAATATCCAACCAAGGCCTTCTAGAGCCTTCCTTAAGACTGCGGGAACCGGTCTCCCCGTAGTCCAAAGGGGTCACCTGAGGCATGTGGGAATCCCTCTGTCTCTCGCAAGGGAACTGAGTGTAGGAAGCAGTGTTAAGATGGTGAAAGCCATGGAGGGTTTTTGTCTTTTTCCACCCAGTCTATGCAAATCAGAATAAACCTCCATCCCTTCTCTGGCTGCTGTCAAATGCAGGACCTGGTGCAGCTTCCACGGGAAACAATACCTCGGTCCTTAGTATGGACACAGAGAGGGTCAAGGTAAATGCTGTGACAATTTTACGTTGTAACTATTTCAGGAAACTTTAATCTCTTTATACAGTGCTCTCTCCTAGCCTCGTCTCTAGTTTGTGTGTTCTAGGACGTATCTACTGTATTACTTAGAGTAATTAATTACTTCCAGGGACATCTTGATGGGCTAATGATTAATCAGCTGATGATCACATATAACTGTGCTGTCATACATTTGGTATCTTTTAATTTTTAGGGCAGAAAGGTGGTATCACTCAGCTAGGACCATAGGGTCTCACACAGTCAAATAATTTGTAGCTGGGCTTGAGTTGAACGTTACTTAGCAACATCACGTAACCATAAGCTGTAATAAGTGGTCACAAGATAGAATTTTAGAGTAGCATGCATACGTACTTGTAACCGTATAGAACAGATAAAAAAGTAGCTTAACCAGCCCCCTCCCCCATAACCTTAAAAGGTACACAAATATTTACTGTTGTCCTGCCAAATCCCAAAAACACAACTAAGTATATGCAACAGATATAAGGTTAAACATCTCAAATTTTACATGATTGACTACATAATCCCAATCACTCATAACACCAGCATACTATTTTAGTTCAGAATCTATCTATAGACAGACAACCTTTAACTCTAAATCCCCCCTGTTGCATAATCTTACCATGATAGGCCTCAACGACCAATGCTTAATTTCACAACATAATACTACAAGCCATGACAGATCTTCACAAGGGACACCTGTTACTGTAGCTTAATACAGAAAGCAAGGCACTGAAAATGCTTATGTGAGTCATTAGAATCCATAAGCACAAAGGTACGGTCCTGGCCTTGCCATGAATTCTTCATAAGATCACACATGCCAGCCTCTGCCTCCCAGTGAAAATGCCCTCCAAATCACAAATGATTAAAAGGAGCAGGGATCAAGAACACTACAATAGCTCGCAACGCCTTGCTCAAGCACACCCCCACGGGATACAGCGGTCATAAAATAGGCCATGAATGAAAGTTCAACTAAGCTCTGTTAAAATAGGTTTGGTAAATTTTGTGCCAGCCACCGCAGTCATTTGATTAACCCAAATTAATAGGCCTGTGGTGTAAAACGTGTTAAAGATATTTCCATACAAAAGTTAAGACTTAACTAAGCCGTAAGAAGCTACAATGACCACAAAAAGAAGCTACGGGAGTGACTTCAATCCTTCTGACTACACAATAACTAAAACCCAAACTGGGATTAGATACCCCACTATGCTTAGCCCTACACATAAATAATTCGCTCAACAAAATGATTCGCCAGAGAACTACTAGCAACAGCTGACAACTCAATGGAATTGGTGGTGCTTTATACCCCTTTAGAGGAGCCTGTTCTATAATTGATACACCCCGATAAACCTCACCACCCCTTGCTAATTCAGTCTATATACTGCCATCTTCAGCAAACCGTTAAAAGGGAAAAGAACTAAGCACAAACATTACACAGGAAGAAGTTAGGTCAAGGTGTAACCCATGGGGTGGGAAGAAATGGGCTACATTTTCTACTTAAGAACACAACACCCAGGAAAGTTTTTATGAAACTAAAAACCAAAGGAGGATATAGTACTAAATTAAGAATAGAGAGCTTAATTGAATTGGGCCAGGAAGCACGCACACAGAGCCCATCACCCTTCTCAAGTCATTGAATCTAAATATCACATATTAAAAGCCCTAAAACACAAGAGGAGACAAGTCGTAACAAGGTTAGCATACTGGAAAGTGTGCTTGGGTAAACCCAAGTGAAGCTTAAATACAGCATCTGGCTTATACCCAGAAGAGTTCATAATAAAGATGACCACTTTGAACCAGAGCTAGCCCAAACAACTATAAATTACCACAAGACAAACAGTTATAAAAATATAGGAGAAATTTTAATTGGAGCTATAGAGAAAGGACCATAAGGGAATGATGAAAGAAAAATTAAAAGTACTAAATAGCAAAGATTAACACTTTTACCTTTTGCATAATCAATTAGCTAGACTAACTTAAAGAGAATTGAAGCGAAGCCCCTACCCCCCACCAAACCAGAGGAGCTACCTATGAATAAGCCACCGGGATGAACTCATCTATGTTGCAAAATAGTGAGAATATAGAGGTGAAAAACCTAACGAGCCTGGTGATAGCTGGTTACCCAGAATAGAATATCAGTTCAACTTTAAACTGTACGTAAAAAACCTAAAAACTGTACTGTAAGTTTAAAATATAGTCTAAAAAGGGGCACCTGGGTGGCTCAGTCGTTAAGCGTCTGCCTTTGGCTCAGGTCATGATCCCAGGGTCCTGGGATCGAGCCCCGCATCAGGCTCCCTGCTCAGCGGGAAGCCTGCTTCTCCCTCTCCCACTCCTCCTGCTTGTGTTCCCTCTCTCACTGTGTCTCTCTCAAATAAATAAAATCTTAAAAAAATAAAATAGAATCTTAAAAGGTACAGCTTTTTAGAAAAAGGATACAACCCTGTTTAGAGTGAATAAATACACCCATATAGGCTTAAAAGCAGTCATCAAGAAAGGGTTCAAGCTCAATAAAGTTAATACCAAAAATATTTAACTCCTTATCTAACACTTAGTTAATCTATTAATGTGGAAGCAATAATGTTAACAGGAGTAACAAGAATTCTTTCTCCTTGCATAAGCTTATATCAGAGGAGATAACCACTGAGAGTTAACAAAATAAAACGTATCTAACAAATCACTTAATCAAACTGTTAATCCAACACAGGCATGCAATTAAGGAAAGATTAAAAGAAGAAAAAGGAACTCGGCAAACACAAACCCTGCCTGTTTACCAAAAACATCACCTCCAGCATTTCCAGTATTGGAGGCACTGCTGCTCATGGCATTCATTAAACGGCCACGGGATCCTGACCCTGCAAAGGAGAGCGTAATCATTTGTTCTCTAAATCAGGCCTTGTATGATTGGCCACAGGAGGGGTTAACTGTCTCTTCCTTCCATTCAGTGAAATTGACCTTCCTGTGAAGAGGCAGGGATTAAAAAAAAAAAATAGTCCAGAAGACCCTTTGGGGCTTGAATTAACTAGCCCAAAGAAATCCCTCAATCTAACTGACCAGGAATAATAAACTACTATATGGGTTCGCAGTTTAGGTTGGGGTGACCTCAGAGAACAAAATAAACTCCAAGTGATAGAAACCTAGACTCGCCAGTCAAAATATTATTTGTTGATCCAAAAAATTTTGATCAGTGGAACAAGTTACCCTGGGGACAACAGCACAATCCTATTTGAGAGTTCATATTGATATTGGATCAGGACATCCTAATGCTGCAGCAGATATTAAGGGTTCGTTTATTCAACAGTTAGAGTCCTATGGGATCTGAGTTCAGACTGGAGTCATCCAGGTCAGTTTCTATCTATTAGATAATTTCTCCCAGTTCGAAAGGACAAAAGAAATAAGGACTGATTATTGAAGCGTCTTCGACTACTAGATGATACTATCTTAATCTAACCAGTTGACTGTATACTCTGGTTTCTCTTCAGATTGTATAGATCTTTTGCCTTTAACCAGTTGACTTTAAATCACACCCAAGACGCCTGGGTGGCTCACTCGTTAAGCATCTGCCTTTGGCTCAGGTCCTGACCCCAGGATCCCAGGGT